TAATTGTTATTATGATTGGACTTATTTCCTTTATTTTATTTTCACGAGTCCACCAATCTTCTATTAGTTTTTCGCACTTGGATATACAGTTTCGCCACATTTCTGGAGTTGCAATTGAAAGTGCTTTTCGCCAAGTTTCCCGAACTGCGTCGTCACTATAACCATTAGGCCCAATATGGTTATCATAATATTGTTTTGCTATTCCCCACATATAGTCGATGGGATTAAACTGGCAATAATACTGTGGCAGACGTAAAACTTGATGACCGTAACTTTCAATAATCTAATCCCAACAAAGGTTTTTGGTTTTGCGTGTATATTTGCCAAGCGTAATAATTCTGATTTTAATATATAGTGAGGAAATGGTATATGTTCGTTTGTCAACCAGTCTTTAATTTTAATTTTATCAACAGTCCAAGAATTCGTTAGACTTTTGTTTAATACCTCAGAATGGTAAGGTGCATTGTCTAAAATAATTACGCTAGGCTCACTTAAACCTGGGAGAAGTTTTTCATGCAACCATTTTACAAACATTTCTGTGTTCATATTATCGTGATAGTCACTGGATTTTGATTTAGATGAAACTATTAAATCAGCACCTTTTATAAAACCCGATTTCCCTCCTGCATGTAAAATTATGTGTCGCTTCCCTTCTTCATCGGTATGTTTGATGGACTTTACGTTATCATCTTGCCATATTCCCTTGGTTGCACCCCTAGAAAATATCCATGTTTCGTCTAAATATATAAAATTCGCCCCTTCTTCTTTAAATTTAGAATATTTTCTTAGAAAGTTAATTCTCTTGTGCACGACAAAACTTCTTTCACAAAGGACCTTTCTATTATCCTTCTTTTGAAACCCAAGTTATGTATCACTTGCCATAGACTTGTTCTGCCAATGTCGTCAAATTTTCTATCTATTAATTCCGAGAGAATTGTATTTAAGGTCACATGTTCCTTGTTGGCCCTCATTCGATAAATGGTATCACGAATTTCAAATTTCTTTCCATCTGGAATATCTTTCGTTATCAATGATGGGCGAGTTTTGCGGTGATCTTATTTTGGCAGTTCACTATTGTGATTTTGTAATACTCCTCTTAATTTGGTTTCACTAATTCCTAGAGCATCGCATACGCGTTGTTGTACAAACATTACCGATTTTAAAGGACCGCCATTTTCTTTTTCATTCGTAAAATACTTATGTACACTACAAATTAGACTATCTACATCTAACACACGTCTAGGCATTTTTAAATTTCCACTAAATTTGCAATATACATACAATGTCAACACTTGCAAAGAATCAATTCAACTGCAATATTTGTAACAAATTTAGTACCTACCCTAATGTTATTTTAATTTAAATCTGACCATTAGGGCAATTTTACCTAATTTCTTGGGAAGTGGCTTATTGCAACTGGTTGTCAATGACTAATTTGCATAATTTTGTTAATCCAAAACCCGCGTAAGTATATAGCGAACAGACAGTAATCATCCGATAAAGATCAGAAATTGGCTAGTTACTACCAGGTACCGCCACCCTTAATGAATAAGTCGATTATTATGACAAACGCATTAAGAATTGTAACTTGCAATGCGTGTGCTAACTATTTCGTAACAAAACTTAAAAAAAAGAAGAAAGTTAATATACAGGGTGTTTCATTGGTAAAGGGACTCCCTTTAACCATGGATGGAGACCACCGAGGTGCTTCCAAATAACCCATACTTAATAGGTCTTTCGACCTTTATAGCCGGTGTATATTTTCAACATGATGGTGCTTCACCGCATTACCGGCTAATTGTGAGAGAATTTTTGAATGAAAATTTTCCCAATACGTGGATAGGCAGAGGTGCTCCCAATCACTGGCCTTCAAGATCGCCTGACTTTAATCCGCTGGATTACCACGTTTGGGGACATCTAAAAACAAAAGTATATTCCACTCCCATAAATAGTTGGGAAGAACTAGTTGGGAGGATAGAAAACGCGTGCGAAGAAATGAAAAATAATCCCGATGTACTCAGAAAAGCCGTCAACCATATTTTAAAACGAGCAAGAAAATGCATCGAACAAAATGGAGGTCAGTTTGAACAACTCTTGTAGTTTTTAGTAGCAATAAGGTTTATTACTTCATTTCCAACATTTGTATTTCTTTGTATTATTAGTTGTTATTTTGATTTGTTTATTATGTATTAATTAGTTATTATTTATGTGTTTTTCCTTTAGTTGTAAATGTTATTATTTGTTCTACTGAATGTTAGTCTCTTTCCATATTATTATCCTACATACTATTTATTAAAACTTACATAGAATAATTTATACAGGGTGCGGTCGAAAAAAAAAAAATTCTGATTTTTGACCCTAAAACCGGACCTGAAATTATTTTTTGAAATGGTGTAGATGCATACAATTATAAGTATTGACATATTTGTAGCTTTTAGAAATATACTTCTTTAAATAATTTTAAATATACCGTAATAAAATTAATAAAAATCCGTCCGTTTCCAGTTTGTACCTCCAAAATGCTCAAAAATAACAATTTGGATTTATAATTTCAGTAGTAAAATCGTCTGCGCAAAAATAAAATGTACATTATTGGATTCAGTTTTTTGTGCTCTTTTCAAATATGAAAACAAACATTTCAAATTCAGACATACAGGATGTTGTTTTAAGGATGGACGAATTTATTAATTTTTTGTAAAGACGGACCTGGATTTCGTTTCTTGTTTATACCTTTTTCGATTTGGTAAGTTACGGTGAATAAATACGCCAAATGTCAAAAACATATACAGGGTGGTTAATAAGTTATGAGTCTGGAAAGAAATAGGCCAAATTGATAAAACACCCTGTATCTCGGCTATAAAGGTCAAAAGACCCATTAAGTATGGGTTATTTGGAAGCACCTCGGTGGTCTCCATCCATGTTTAAAGGGAGTCCCTTTACCAATGAAACACCCTGTATAAAGGAAGAAGAATACTGGAGAAGAAAGTAGGTTTCGTTAAGACTCTATTTGGAAATCTTCCAATTAATATTTATCTTAAAAAAAAACAGTCGTACAACTTTAAAGCATGCCCCGTTTAATAACTGCATTGTATGTGCAGTTTCACTTTCTTCAAGATGCACATCTTGTTTAATTGGACAGTGTTGTATCAACTGGAATTTATTTCAGTCACGGGACATTATCGTACATTTTTTAATAAATATGTATATGTACAGGGTGCGCTTTGCTCAACGTTACCTGGTGGGTAAACTACAAACGATATTAAACATTCCTACTCAACGGCGGCTACAAATTAAAATTAGTTTCATATACGGTGAGCACCATAAGTTTTATCCACCCTATCTAACTCGTTACTGGAGTCTTGTTAGGAAAATCGCTGAGACACGTCGATTTTTGATTTCTACAATGTACATTTTTGTATGAATAGTTTACCCTTAATTTCATCCCTTACTGGAGGGGAGCAACCCTTTCGAAAAATTTAAATGGCATGGGGTGGTGAGTGATAGCTCATTTGAAAGAGGGTTTTATTCTCTATTCAACCATGTAAAAATTTTTGTAATTTGCTTCATTAATTCTCGACTAATTGTTGTTTCAGAATAACGGAAATTAACGTAGCGCACTCATCCTTAGAATTAAAATTTGGCCCTGCATGAGTTCGGTTTTGGTTCAGACGTGAAGTAAGACTTTTTGCCATTAGAAGGTCACTGTTAGTTTAGTTGCTTTCCTATTTTGTGAGGATTTGTTATTTTTAAACATTAATAAATCAACACGTAATGAAACAAATTTCAAAATTTTTTGCATGGTTGAATAGAGAATAAAACCCTCTTTCAAATGAGCTATCACTCGCCACCCCATGCCATTTAATTATTTCGAAAAGGTTGCTCCCCTCCAGTAAGGGATGAAATTAAGGGTAAACTAATCATACAAAAATGTACATTGTAGAAATCAAAAATCGACCTGTCTCGGCGATTTTGTTAACAAGACTTCAGTAACGAGTTAGTTAGGGGGGGTAAGACTTATGATGCTCACTGTATACAAACCAGAATACCAATATAAAGTTATATTTTTTAAAGTTTCTTTATGACTTGCAAAATTAAATGTATAATTCATATTTATGCTAAAAAAACACTAAAGATCGTTTTTTCCTTGATGGATGATTATGGATATCTGAAGTTTTTAATTCTGAACAATTTTTATTCATTATTTTCATAAAATTCGTATTTTTTGACGAACCTCGTACATGATTAAAAATTTCAGGTTTTAGATCATGCAGAAGAATAACTTTTTGCATGAAACTAATAAAAAAGTTTCCCACATGGTGCCGACTTAAGTAGACACACTCTGTATACTGTATAAGTGAATTTATTTTTGACAATATCTATGGTTTTGTGTACCTACTTTTTCTATTGAAAATATATGGCTACATACCTATTAATATTCTAATTTCAAATATACTGACAATTAAATTTCTGACAATAAACGTTTGTACCGGTTTGTATATTTTAAGATCATTTACAAAAAGTAAACAGTCTGAGTATTTAAACACAGGCAGATCATTTATAAAAAGTAAACAATAGGGGACCAAGATTAGATCCTTATGAAACACCAGAATTAGCTGAAAACTTACCTGACATATTACCGTTATGCTTTGCAATAAATGATCTTTACGAACAATATCATGGCTATATCAAACCATGTTTCATCCAAGCAATAGATGTGCCTTCCTTCATTACGATACTGCCAAATTTTTAAACTTTTTAGTTCGATAGAAGCAAGGAACATTTCTCCATGGTTTCCCAGGGATATCGGCCATCCCCCCGGAATTTCCACCACCTAGCCGGTTGACCGTGAATTTTTCCGGCACATTTACGGTCACGAATTTAAAATACAAAATAAAATTAGATGAATATTTTTTAATTCTAAATTAATTAAATCTTTAATACACCACAACAGTATATTTTTTAAAAGACTGCCTATATCAATGACAGTATTTTAATTTCAGAGACATGACTCAATTAAGTAGCTGCGAACCCATACAAATCATTCCAACGAAAAATGGGGATCAAATCGATTACCAACTCTACAAGCAAACTATCAATAGATCCACAACAACAATAGGAACTAAACGAGAGAAGGATGAAGGGGAAGTAGTATGGAGAAATGCGCTTGTCTTTCTAATACTTCATAGTCTCGCGTTGTATGGTTTATGGTTAGCTATAACAGGAAAAGCTATGTGGCAGACAGTCCTATTCAGTAAGTATTTAGAAATGGCTATGCAGTAGTGCTAAGTTACAAAATAATGATAGGTACCATAATTAAAAATATTAGGAAAAGTAAAGAACCTAAATTGGAGCTCTGAAGGACCCTAGAGCGTTAAAATCAACGTTTTTAAAATTATATCTGTTTGAAAGCATTCATTAGCATTCTTTTAGCATTCTTTAGCATTCTTTAGCATTATTTAACATTCTTTAGCATTATTTAGCATTATTTAGCATTATTTAGCATTATTTAGCATTATTTAGCATTATTTAGCATTCTTTAGTATTCTTTAGTATTCTTTAGTATTCTTTAGTATTCTTTAGTATTCTTTAGTATTCTTTAGTATTCTTTAGTATTCTTTAGTATTCTTTAGTATTCTTTAGTATTCTTTAGTATTCTTTAGTATTCTTTAGTATTCTTTAGTATTCTTTAGTATTCTTTAGTATTCTTTAGTATTCTTTAGTATTCTTTAGTATTCTTTAGTATTCTTTAGTATTCTTTAGTATTCTTTAGTATTCTTTAGTATTCTTTAGTATTCTTTAGTATTCTTTAATATTCTTTAATATTCTTTAGCATTCTTAAGCATTCTTTAGCATTCTTTAGCATTATTTAGCATTCTTTAGCATTCTTTAGCATTCTTTAGCATTCTTTAGCATTCTTTAGCATTCTTTAACATTCTTTAGCATTCTTTAGCATTCTTTAGCATTCTTTAGCATTCTTTAGCATTCTTTAGCATTCTTTAGCATTCTTTAGCATTCTTTAGCATTCTTTAGCATTCTTTAGCATTCTTTAACATTCTTTAACATTCTTTAGCATTCTTTAGCATTCTTTAGCATTCTTTAGCATTCTTTAGCATTCTTTAGCATTCTTTAGCATTCTTTAGCATTCTTTAGCATTCTTTAGCATTCTTTAGCATTCTTTAGCATTCTTTAGCATTCTTTAGCTTTCTTTAACATTCTTTAGCATTCTTTAAAATTCTTTAGCATTCTTTAACATTATTTAGCATTATTTAGCATTCTTTAGCATTCTTTAGCATTCTTTAGCATTCTTTGGCATTCTTTAGCATTCTTTAGCATTCTTTGCCATTCTTTGCCATTCTTTGCCATTCTTTACCATTCTTTACCATTCTTTACCATTCTTTACCATTCTCTATCATTCTTTACCATTCTTTACCATTCTTTACCATTCTTTACCATTCTTTACCATTCTTTACCATTCTTTACCATTCTTTACCATTCTTTACCATTCTTTACCATTCTTTACCATTCTTTACCATTCTTTACCATTCTTTACCATTCTTTACCATTCTTTACCATTCTTTACCATTCTTTACCATTCTTTACCATTCTTTACCATTCTTTACCATTCTTTACCATTCTTTACCATTCTTTACCATTCTTTACCATTCTTTACCATTCTTTACCATTCTTTACCATTCTTTACCATTCTTTACCATTCTTTACCATTCTTTACCATTCTTTACCATTCTTTACCATTCTTTACCATTCTTTACCATTCTTTACCATTCTTTACCATTCTTTACCATTCTTTACCATTCTTTACCATTCTTTACCATTCTTTACCATTCTTTACCATTCTTTACCATTCTTTACCATTCTTTACCATTCTCTATCATTCTTTACCATTCTTTACCATTCTTTATCATTCTTTACCATTCTTTACCATTCTTTACCATTCTTTACCATTCTTTACCATTCTTTACCATTCTTTACCATTCTTTACCATTCTTTACCATTCTTTACCATTCTTTACCATTCTTTACCATTCTTTACCATTCTTTACCATTCTCTACCATTTTTTACCATTCTTTAGCATTCTCTAACATTTGTAATGTTTTTCAAAAATAACAATATCTTTTTTAGGTTATATTTATTTATCTGGAGCCAGTACAGGTGTAACAGGAGGAGCCCACCGTCTTTGGGCACACAGAGCGTACAAGGCCAAGATGCCCTTCAGGATTTGGTTAATGTTATGGCAAACGGCAGCTCTTCAGAATGACATCCACGAATGGGTCAGAGATCACAGAACGCATCATAAATTTACCGACACCAATGCCGATCCTCATAATTCCAACAGAGGGTTCTTTTTTTGCCACGTGGGTTGGTTGATGATGAAGAAGCACAAGGATGTCATTGCCAAAGGGAAGACGATAGATATGAGCGATGTCGAGGCTGATCCCGTGGTCATGTGGCAGAAAAGGTAAGAAAATATTGTGATTTAGAATACTAGATATTTTATTTTTTGTATATTATTTTAGATATTACATTCCAATGGTTATTCTGTTAACATTTTTGCTTCCCACCTTTATCCCTGTATACTTTTGGAAAGAATCGATATCGGTGTCTTTTTACGTTTGCATTGCAAGATATGTTCTGCAGTTAAATGGTACATGGTGCGTCAACAGTGCTGCCCATTTATGGGGTTATCAACCATACGACAAGTAAGTTGAAAACTGTTTTTTTTCTAATTTTGACCTATTTTGATCTACTTCTCGCAACCAGTTGCATAATGTTGAACGTTATGAAACTAGTTTTGAAATAGTATATTATGCAACGATCATGTAATGATGGTTATTAATACACGAGCATTAACCGGGATACGAAACGAGCCAAAGGCGAGTTTCGTATGGTTTATGCGAGTGTTTTAATAACCATTACATGAGAGTTGCATACGCTATTTTTTCTACACCCGATAAATAATCAAGACCTATAAATATTCTATTTATATTGGCATTGAACACAATAACAGTAATTACTCGTATTTCTATAAAAAATTCTACAAAATTGTAATTAATGGTATTACCTTGGGTATTGGTATTACCACAGATTTTTGGGGCAAAATATTTTGTACTGCATTTTCTCCTTTCTCCGATATGTGTGGAGGAGTCTTCTATATCGCTGATATCAGACATTTTAATATTATAATTATCGAAGTTTAGCTATCTACGAAAATTTAATACGTTTTGACAACTAAAACAATTACATAGGAATTTAGGACAAACGTCAAACATCATGCTTGATTGAAAAATTGTAGGTTTCTATTGATTAAAAATCTGTATCATAATGAAAAATCTGTATCATAATGGGTATCATTATGAAACGGATTTTGGGCATATAAGTGCATTATTATAATACGGGTGTAGAAAAAATTTATTTCGTCATCAGTTGCGAAAAGAAAATAATAATATATATTATTATTGAAAGTTTATATCAAAGAAAGGAAGGTTGACTTATAAAAATATAATTTGTTTAAACTTACAACCTAGTAATAATGTTATTTTGGTCCTTATTTTCCAGTCCAAATGAGCACTAAATAATTAAAACAAAATACATGAAAAAATAACCCACTTTTTTAAAAACTAAATAACTTTGACAAACAATATGAACACATTGCAAGTCGTTGAGAAATAATTAATAATTATTTTCTAATCGTGGTTCTAATTGTCATTAAAATGATGTATATGCAACTAACAGTACAAGAAAGTAATATTGGTTGCCTAAATGTCAGTAATATTTAATCAAAATACAAATTTAGTAAAATTTTTGTCAAAACTCATTTTGAAATGCCGTTTTATGTAACTGGTTTCTTAAATAGCTGTTATATATTTTCATATTTTATTTGAATACTCTGTAGTTTTTTTACTGGAAAATTTAGACATTTTGCCTATTTTAACCCTGCGAATTGTATAGTATACTTTTTCTACGAAGCACTAAAGAAAATCTACATTTTAAAAAGTAATTTAGAGGTTATTAACATACAGTGTGTCTGAAAAAGTTGGCAACAAATGGGAAACTTTTTTATTATTAAGTTTAGGAAAAAACGTCATTCTTCATAAAAAGTTCTGTAAGGCCTAAAATCCAATATACGATAATCAGATATCGAAATTTTCCAATCGTATACGAGGTTTGTCAAAAAGTATGAATTTTGCTCAAGAGTAAAGTACCTTTATTTTCGACAATATCTAAAATTGTTATTTAGAAAAGTTGATTAGAATTGAAAACTACGTTTAAATAAAGGTACTTTACTCTTGAGCAAAATTCATACTTTTTGACAAACCTCGTATACGATTGGAAAATTTCGATATCTGACTATCGTATATTGGGTTTTAGGCCTTGCAGAACTTTTTATGAAGAATGACGTTTTTTCCTAAACTTAATAATAAAAAAGTTTCCCATTTGTTGCCAACTTTTTCAGACACACTGTATAATACCTATTTTAATAATAATGAATTTTACCAATTTATAAAATAAAAAAAATATTTCTAATGATCTGTCGAACGAACCATCTTCCCTATTCAAATTTCAATGTTTAAAATTCCTGTGCAAAGGAATGGTTTTATGTCGTGAAATTTTTTCAAAAATCTAGTTTTTTCTACCAGAAAAGACCTCTGTTCCCTTTTCAATGTGACATCCTATATTAATAATTATTCTTTATTTTGTAGATCGATAAATCCAAGAGAAAACGTTTTCGTATCGACCATAGGCTATGGAGAAGGCTGGCACAACTACCACCACACTTTCCCGTGGGATTACAAAGCAGCCGAGCTTGGTAACTACAGAATGAACTTCACCACGGCTTTACTGGACTTCATGGCCTACCTTGGACAAGCTTACGAACTGAAAACGGTGTCTCTAGACATGATCAGAAGAAGAGCCAATAGAACAGGCGACGGTTCCTGGAGTGAATTGGACAAGAATATCGAAAAGGAGGATAACAAAAAGGATAATAATCATCATGAAGACCTCGTGTGGGGATGGGACGATAGGGATATGAAGGAAGAAGATATCAAGGAAGCGAATATTTTTTGTAAAAAACAAATGTAAACTATATTATTTTTAAGTATGTAAGTTGGTTTGTATTATATTAATATATTGTCTTCTATATGTTTGTTTTATTATATTCCATTTTTTAAAATCCGAATGATATTACTATGGGTAAAAATGGCGACAATAACTTTGAACGATTGAATTAGGCAAATCAAAATGGTATCTTAGTCTTCCAAAGAAGATCAGAAGCCTTGTCTAATACAAGGTTACCCACCTACAATCAAAAAATAAGAACGCCAAAACGAAGGAGATCACATGATGATGAATATGATAAGAAAAAGCATTAAGAATGCTTAATTAGTCCATCGGGAAGATCATCCAGTCTCCCAACTCGAGCCCTATCGTCTTCCTTTCGGCCTGAGGAAGGAAATAATATTAAAATAGATGTTATTCAAGCCTTAGATGGCTTATCGGACCAATACAACTCTTTTTATTTTATATCACAACCCAATGCTTCTCCTACAGGTCCAGCAGGTCTGAAGATTCAGAGTACTAATTATCTATTATTATGCTCTTCGATCCATTAACCATTATTCAATGGAACATTCGCTCTTTTAACTCAAACATAAATAATCTAAAGATCCTAATTAAGGACCACAATCCAGACATAATCCTACTTAATGAAACTTGGATGAAGGAAGATTATAGGTAAAGGTGTAGAGGTTGCCAAACATTGAGAAATGATAGATTGGATGGCTATGGAGGTATAGCCTGTTTAATTAAAAACAATTTAGATTTTCAGCCTCTTCTAATAGATTACTCTCTAGATCTTCCAACTCAAGTTCAAGCCATCTATCTCCCCCACTGCCAATTAAATTTGGTGAATATTTACTGCCCAGGAGAAATGCTTTTCCAGGGAAACAACATTTTTCCGTCTTGACTAAGGATGGTATCTTACTCGCAAAAGATAAACATATCAAAATAATTCTGGCATGGATTCCAGGCCACTCTGGGATTCAGGGTAACTTCAAGGCAGATCAATTGGCAAATATAGGAAGATCTCTGAATATTCCAGTGAATGCCTTTTCTTATTTCTATTAACAACTTACACAAACTCTCACCATTGTTAAAATTTGTACCAGTAAAGTAATAAAATACAAAAAATCACTTATAAACTACAAAAATAAGCTAGAAATTAATGAAAATCAAAAATCAAATGACAGTTCTGACAATTTCGAACGATTTGACATGCCAAGCAAAACGAAACAGACCAATGGGAATGCTGGATACTATTTTTCCCCCCTGTACCAAAACAAAGTCCATTTGGACGATGGCTTTAGTAATATATGCTCGAAGTATATTATATATAACTAGTTTCCTGTTAAAATTGAGGCACCCAGTATATTTTATAAAAGAACATACAAAAACAAATATTACAATGAACTTTTGAGCTAAAAATTGACAAAGGCTGTGTTGTAAACAAAATTATTCATGTCTACAAAACGTTTATAAAGCAATAAAATAAAATCTCATAACGGTATAATTTATTGCGTAGCAATTCTACTTCTCAAACGCACAATTTTTCATGGGTAGCAAACCATATAATTATCGATAGAACTCGTTAAAATTTAGTATTCAAATAAAATTTAAGGGCCGTTACTTTTTGTCTTTGATTGAACACACGATTACGAAATTAATTTAAAATATAAACAATCGGGTTTTAATATCCATGGCAGCATCCAATATGTTAAAATATTTATTTTATTAATCACCCCACTCTTCAAATCATACAAGATTAAGGGTTAGTCAGCAATTAATCATTACATCCCTGGACAGACAAGGGCACACCTGGCATTGCAATCCGAAACAAACCTTGCCAAATATTATCAAAAATTTAAAAAAAGAAAACTTGAAACTTTTTTAGGTTATATTGTTATGGTATAAATGAATTGCTATGTTCCGAATACACAATGTGATGTTTACTACACTTCTCTTGGATACATTTCATAGCAAATGACATTATTAAGTTGGTAGGTTAAATAGGTAAGTAACAAATAGAAGTTTTGGAAGGTTTTGATTTCCTTCAACACCTTCCCTTGAACGTTGGAATTATATTGTATTACATTCCGTATGTTCGTTAAAATAACATCGTCGAAAAGCTTTGCAACGTTATGTGCCAGCTGGGCAAGATCGTCTGGTCGTTAGATAAGGGAACAAATATTATTTACAGCTAGAAGAAATAAAATGAGATTCAAAACTGAACCCTGAAGCACTCTCAATATTGTATAAACAAGATTTGGTTCCGTTTACAGGTTGGTATATATCTTAAAGGTTCAAAATTGCTTATGAAATTAAATTTATTTTTTTCAATTCAATTCAATTCAATTTATTTAGTAATACAGTAATTAGTTTACATTTTTTCATTATATAATAGTACAAACTGTTAGGTGAGGAGCACGAAAACAAACTAAAAACCTAGGTGAAGTGCCTGTGTTGTCTTTTTGTTTATTTCCGGACCCCTTCTCAATTATGTATTAATTTATTTACTATTTATATTGGCAAAATTCTATCTAGTTTGAAAGATACATATTTTTTAGCAAGAAATATGATAAAAATAAGAAAAAATAAATTAAATATTAATTATATACAAAAATAGACAATGTGAGAGGAGATCAGCAAAAGAAAAGTAAATTTTGTTAAATAAACAAACAAGGACAGTCCGTAGTAAGTTATGTTTATGCGTATAAAACTATTTGCACATGACTATACGTATAGAATGACTTGCACGTGACTACAATTGGTAGGCTTATAAGAGTAAGTAGTAAAAAGTATTTGGGGAATTTATTATATACTTCTTAGTTTCCCTCTTAAACAGGTTTTTGTCTACAGTGAGCACCATAAGTCTTACCCCCCTATCTAACTCGTTACTGGAGTCTTGTTAGGAAAATCGCCGAGACATGTCGATTTTTGATTTCTACAATGTACATTTTTGTATAAATAGTTTACCCTTAATTTCATCCCTTACTGGATGGGAGCAACCCTTTCGAAAAATTTAAATGGCATGGGGTGGTGAGTGATAGCTCATTTGAAAGAGGGTTTTATTCTCTATTCAACCGTGTAAAAAAATTTGAAATTTGCTTCATTCATTCTCGACTAATTGTTGTTTCAGAATAACGGAAATTAACGTAGCGCACTCATCCTTAGAATTAAAATTCGGCCCTGCATAATGGTTCAGACGTGAAGTAAGACTTTTTGCCATTAAAAGGTCACTGTTAGTCTAGTTGCTTTCCTATTTTGTGAGGTTTTGTTATTTTTAAACATTAATAAATCAACACGTAATGAAGCAAATTTCAAAATTTTTTGCACGGTTGAATAGAAAATAAAACCTCCTTTCAAATGAGCTATCACTCACCACCCCATGCTATTTAAGTTTTTCGAAAGGGTTGCTACCCTCCAGTAAGGGATGAAATTAAGGATAAACTAATCATGCAAAAATGTACATTGTAGAAATCAAAAATCGACCTGTCTCGGCAATTTTCCTAACAAGACCCCAGTAACGAGTTAGTTAGGGGGGGTAGGACTTATGATGCTCACTGTATAATACTTTTTAGGTTTGGTGGAAGAACATTAAAAAATTTCGGACCGAAATAAAAATAGGATCGTTGAGTGACTGCTTTTTTAAAGAGAGGGACACAGAGTTCCATATTAGTAGCGGCTCGTGTTTTACCTGTATTTTTAAATTGATATTTTTCAGTAGAGTTATGTATTCTTATTAAACACTGAAGAGTAAAAAGTAATCTTATGTTCATTATTTTTGTTTCATTGTACAAGTCATCGGTGGAAAACAATTTATTCTTTTTAAATATAATTTTTAATAGTGTATTTTGAATTGTTTGTAATGTTTGTAGGGTGGTATTAAAGGTGCTTCCCCATACAGTAATACAATATCTTAGAATCGATTCGGCTAGAGAATTATAAAGAATTATCAAATTTTTTCTAGATAAAATGTCTCTTAGAATATAAAATTGATGTATTAGAGCTCTTAAACGCTTACTAATATGTATTATATGATCTGACCAACGAATATGTTGATTTATAATCACCCCTAGATACTTCATAGTAGAAACTTTTTCAGTATTTGTACAACTACAGTTATTATTTATGCAATCTAGTTCATGTGGTCTTATAGTAATCTCTTGTGGCTGATTTGTGACTAAAGCAGTAAAAGTAACATATTTTGTTTTATCTACGTTAAGCGTTAGTTTATTGTAATTTAACCATAGTCGCAACTTGTGCAAGTCAGACTCAGTAGAAGTTTTTATTTCATTCCAATCAGTACCAGTTACTAGTAAGACTGTATTAACAGATATTTCATATTCGTTAAGTTTATTAAGGATAAAGGATATCCACGTAGTATCAAAAATGACTGGTTATTTATAGCGTTTAAAATGTGAGTTTGAAGATAGACAAGATTATTCGTTGTATTGCGATTTGTTCTAAAATCAGAATGTGCATCTTAAAACATTTAAAATTTTTATAATTATCAAGTCGATCGAATTTAAATGCCATGATATTTTTGTATATGTTATTGTGCCCTCCATTATTCTGATAATTACAGCTTTAAAAATAGACACTCTTACATGTGAAAATCTCATTTGTTGAAACTTATTCATTTTTGAGGTTAATCTATTTTATTACTTCTTCTCGAGCAATTTAAATCGTTTAATTACAGTATAAGGTTACAGAGAGGACGTTACTTAGAATAAATAATAGTTTTACGTCTTACGCTATGCGTATTCGTAGAGAATAATTGCAAGTTAAGATATTTTTAAACGCGAACCATAACGATTACATGTTTCGAACTGGACCACTTTCTCCTGATTTTTTTTTTCATGTAAATTAGTTTTTTATTTTACTTAAAATTAATTTGATAAATATTTACCTTTGAACTACTACGCATTCCTGAACCATACACGATTTAACCCACTTAGGTATACTTATGAAATTAAATTTTTTTTAGTACCTAATAGATAGGTAAGTTTTGTTAAATGAATTATCTTTATCATTTAAACCGTAATATATAGTTGGAGGTAAATATATTTTTTATCTTTTGGCAA